TATGGACATCCCTACAAATCCCTCTAATTTTCTTTAATTTCCTTTTACTATCACCTTGGGTCTGGCTGACAAATGCTGAGTCTATCATTCGGAAGTTTTCAGGGGCCTCTGGATTAAAGGGAGTATACAACCTATTTGACTCAAGCAGTGTCTAATATGGGACTTCGGCAAGGCTGCCCAATAATAGGTTCCAGTCTAGGAGTAGTAAGATAATTTTATTAGTCAGCATTTGGTGGATGAAAAAACGTTTTTTTTTTTTTTTTGTTTGTTTTTTAAAGTGTTAAACCAAAAACCTACCAGTAGGTGTCACCAGAGGGTAATTGTATCAAAATAATCTTTATGGGTCTAATAAGAAAACTCAACTTTTAATATATTTATACATAAAATAAAACCTTATAGCAATAAATATATTAAAATAGGGTAAGCAATCCTACATCTATCTGTTATAAACAATGTATTATCAATGTAACTCCTGAAGATGGCCAGTAGGTGGCCTAGAGTGCCTCCCTAAAGTCAAATGAAACAAATAGACTTTAATTAATTATGTCCTATTTTATTATTACTTATTTTAATCAATGTCCACCCTGCTAGCTAGGCTTGATTAAATCTTTAGTTCTAAGGTAAATTAAACATTTCAGTTTGTAGTTTAGTAAAAGGGGACATTTTGGACAAAGCTGGGAGGGGCCCATCCAGTAACTAAAAAAACCAATATACCATCTGATACCATTGATCATTGATTAGGGGGAGGGGTAGTACAGAAATACAAGAGTTTGAAACACAGGAACAGATAGGTATGTGGGTAGGCGGGGACAGTAGAGCAGGGGGAGTGCAAATACTGATTATACCAGCCAGAAATGGGCGTGGCTACTCTGGCTCTGGAGGATGTTTGGGGGGTTGGTAATCAGATGCCAGGGGGGGAGGGGATGTCCAAAGCAGTTGTAATTAAGTCCTTAGTTCTGACCACCATATGGCTACATTGTTTCCCATATGACACAGTTTAATTCACCAAGGCAACAATCAGTTTCCAACAGTCAATATATAGAAACTGATCATAGAATTCCAGCCTACTAGTTACAGCCACATGTACACTCTGCACTAAATTTAAGTGAAGACTGCTACATGGAGGCCATGCGGCCACCAGGACAAGCTACTCCCTACTTTTTTTTTTTTTTTTTAAACATACAAGACAAAAGACTAACAGCCAAGTGAATCAGATTATTTCAACAGAACGTCTGATTCAAAAAGCTGTACAAATATACACACAGTTTCAGTCACACCAATCTCCTTATCACCAGCAACACATTGCGCAGTCACTAGGCCCAAACACACACACAGGATCCTCACATGCTCAACAATATCACGACGTCGCACACACGAAATTAAATCAAAAACCCACCAAAGACTATACACTTATCAATGTAACTATTATTCAAACCATACAACTATCCACGCTATTAATCCATATAAACTAACCGATCACATAACATTTCAACAAATTCATCTCTACAATTATCTGTACTATAAATCAACTTTGACTAACCAACTATATCACATTCTAGTAACCTCATCTTTACAGTCAGTGGTTATGGTACAGTTAGTAAGTGGTTATAATACAGTTTTAAAGTCACAGATCAGTTAGTAACAGTTATGGTATTATACATATAACATAAAACAGCAATTGTTAGTAATTTTACACAATGTCAGTGGTTATGGTACATGTCAGTAGTTATGGTACCGTGCGCTATTTTACAGTTATACACACAATTTACACTCCCACTAGACAGCAGAGCTCTAACTTTCTAGTAGGACATACAAGTTAACCAATTCACCAACTACAATATATTTAACAACATTTACAATAATCCCAACTAAACTATTGGCCAGTACCTTGAATAGACTACCTAAAACTATATACACCCGTTTTGGTTAGCCACACTGCCCAAGCACCACATATAGCGAACTAGAGGGCAGAAATTGCCCTTCTAGTCTATTTACTCTATCAAAAGTCTAGTGGGTTCCAAATTTACACGCCTTCCCACTTAGCCAAGATAGGTTGAGAGCTAGCGAACCGAATTTACACAGGCGCCGCTTAGTCTCCCGGTCCCTCCGACCTAGCGAACGTAATATACACCCTAGAACGCTAGTCTAGACAAGACACCGGTGTCCGGCTAGGGCTATTTACACAGGACCCCGCCTGACTAACCAGATCAAACGGTCTTACTAAAGAGCGTTCGATCGAGCGGTGCGCCTTCGCTCCTTCCCTCCGACAGAGGGGGCAGATTCCATACACAGATTTAAACCCCTTTTGGGCCTACCGCACAATCGGTATACCCCTAGTGGGTCTGCCGTCTAAAACAGCAGTTGTCTTACCTCCTCGTTCCTGAACCTGAGTTCACACTCATCGACGGGGACACCCCAGCACTTCTTACGTAGAGGCCGATGATCTCCTGGACAACAGACCAGTGGCGCCGAGACGAAGGGAGGTCCACGCAGAAGTTCAGGGGTGCAGCCGTAGAGAACGTGGGCAAAGATAGACCGTCTCACGCCTCTGCCTCTCAGCTACCGTTGAACGATGAGTTTCCCGGCCAACGCACCAAATGATACCGGAGAAACTGACGGAAGCAAAGCAAAGAGGGATGGACACAGGTTTCTTCAGGAAGGAAGAGATTCTTTATTGGATCACCGATCGGGACTCAGAGGGACTAATGTCACCAAAAATACAGCAAGTTCTGAGCCCTGAACAATAGTGCAGGCTCCCTATATAGGCACATAACTCCTCCCATTAATAGCTACACCCACATATACCTTTAACCAATCAATGAGCAGAATATAGACTTGTACATCTAGTCAAACCACATGGCCCATCCAAGACAAAGGAAATAAGTGCAATTTCAGTTCCTGCATTCCTGCACATGCTCAGTACACTGATGACAGTATCCTAGCTACATGTAGCTAACCAACTGACACAACATACACATATGCCACATGGAGATTTTGGCCTACTAAATTTTAACCATGCTGGAATCCCATCACAACACCAGTCTAGATGACCTCAAAAACCAGTTCTATAGGACCTCAATCACCAGTTCTAGTGGCCCTAAAACACCACCTCTTACTAATCTCTATTAAAATATAATAACAAATATAAACAGGGTAAAATGGTAATTAAGCAATGTTATTCATTCAATGCACATACACCATTTAGGTAAAATGACAAAAATCCAAAACAAGTATTTCAAATTCATAAAAAAAAAAAATGTAAATGGTTTATAAATACACAGCAACTATGGTACCTCCCCCCCCCCATTAATTTTATCTCACCGGGTATATTTATTCTAGCTTTTGTTATTTGATGAATAGAAAAACAAGTAAATATGCAGTCAGCTGTTTTTTCTAGCGACAACAACATACTTATCTCTGGCATATGCCTGTGATGGAATTTAATGGTTCACGTATTGCATACAGTTTATAGCATTACTGAGACTGAGCCATCCTGTCTATCATTGGATACTGATCTGCCTGCCTTTTTGGGGCATTGCTATCAGATACTGGGTTACAGAGAGGACAGGAAGATGCAGATGATGGCTGTCACTGTATTATTCCAGGGAGATTGTCACAAAAAGCATTACGTTTGCTTTTCCAAATTCAAATTAATTCTGCTTAATGTGAAAGGTTTGCCTGTTTTTAATTATGAAGAAATCCTGCAGCAATATGCATTTACTTTAACTGCTGAACAGTGAAGTGTGTGTTGGGCCTTATCATTGCTTAGCAGCTCTGCATTTATCCAACAGGCGATGATAGTAATGAAATGGAGCACGCCGCTTGTTGCTGTCAGAAAGTCTATAGGCTCAAGCAGTACAGACCTGTCAATACCAGGCCAGGCTGCTAATGAGCACAATGATACTGTAAAATATGCTAATAGACAGTGCTGAACCTGCAGCTAAACAAACTGACAGGGAGAAAATGTCGAGAGCAGACAAATTTAGCTCAGTAATGCCATTCCTTATCAGATCGCTGGATTTCTTCTAGCCCAGCAATGTCTAAACCTGGGGTGTACTCAGTCAGCCTAAAGATTACCAATGACTTAGACAACTGTTGGAAACGCTTTAACCCCTGAAGGTAAGATGTTGTCCAGTCACTTCTGCCCCCATAGTAAGTTAATTCAGGTGTAGTGTGGTACTCAGATTGTGGGGTAGGAGTGTTCCTTTAAAAAGTAGAACACACTGTCACTTATAATCTATCCAAAGTGATATAATGGATGACATGGCTGTGCAATACAAAAGCATGCCTACTGACTGTTCCACATATGGTGGGGCGATCACGATTTCAGGATCCTGTCCTGCCATCCAGATTTGGTTTCTTAGTGTCCCACATTCAGGGAACTGCACTCAGGCAGCACAGCGCAAGCACATCATTAGACACATGTGTCCTGTACAGCGTGCACTAGGATTATGCAGGGAGAGCTTAAACAGCGATCTCTGCATTGTCTTCTATAGAGACACAAATTGCGTTAATGACAACACCCTCTTGGAAAGCCGCCCCTGTCCCAATTCACCTGTCATTAAGTTGGGAAGTATGCACAAGCAAAGAAAAGAGGTTAATCCTGCTCCCAAACCACCACCGCTGGGAAGCATCAGTGAGTGACTATAGTATTCCCTGTTAAAATGCAGTGTGCCATTTCTGGGGTAAATTAGTTTGTATGGATTCACAAAAATACCTTGCTCTGTTTAATTAGAGATTTCACCTTTTAGTTGAATGCTGCAAGTTGATCTGTTAGGTCATTTATTTTGGTTTTGTTTATTTATTGCGATGAATGACTATAATATGCATTTCCGCCACATAAGAGATGAAGTAGTTTGGATGCAGGGCTTTATTGTGTGTGTTTATAAGCCATGCAGAATACCATGTGGAAAGCCATGCAGAATGCCATGTGGAAAGCCATGCAGAATGCCATGTGGAAAGCCATGCAGAATGCCATGCTGAATACCATGTGAAAAGCCATGCAGAATGCCATGTGGAAAGCCATGCTGAATGCCATGCTGAATACCATGTGGAAAGCCATGCAGAATGCCATGCTGAATACCATGTGGAATGCCATGCAGAATGCCTTGCTGAATACCATGGGGAAAGCCATGCAGAATGCCATGTGGAAAGCCATGCAGAATGCCATGCTGAATACCATGTGGAAAGCCATGCTGAATGCCATGTGGAAAGCCATGCTGAATACCATGTGGAAAGCCATGCAGAATGCCATGTGGAAAGCCATGCAGAATGCCATGCTGAATACCATGTGGAAAGCCATGCAAAATGCCACGTGGAAAGCCATGCAGAATACCATGCTGAATACCATGTGGAAAGCCATGCAGAATGCCATGTGGAAAGCCATGCAGAATGCCATGCTGAATACCATGTGGAAAGCCATGCTGAATACCATGTGGAAAGCCATGCTGAATGCCATGTGGAAAGCCATGCAGAATGCCATGTGGAAAGCCATGCTGAATGCCATGTAGAATACCATGTGGAAAGCCATGCAGAATGCCATGTGGAAAGCCATGCAGAATGCCATGTGGAAAGCCATGCTGAATGCCATGTGGAAAGCCATGCTGAATGCCATGCTGAATACCATATGGAAAGCCATGCAGAATGCCATGTGGAAAGCCATGCAGAATGCCATGTGGAAAGCCATGCAGAATGCCATGCAGAATGCCATGCTGAATACCATGTGGTAAGCCATGCAGAATGCCATGTGGAAAGCCATGCAGAATGCCATGCTGAATACCATGTGGAAAGCCATGTAGAATGCCTTGCTGAATACCATGTGGAAAGCCATGCAGAATGCCATGTGGAAAGCCATGCAGAATGCCATGCAGAATACCATGTGGAAAGCCATGCAGAATGCCATGCTGAATACCATGTGGAAAGCCATGCAGAATACCATGTGGAAAGCCATGTAGAATGCCTTGCTGAATACCATGTGGAAAGCCATGCAGAATGCCATGTGGAAAGCCATGCTGAATGCCATGCTGAATGCCATGTGGAAAGCCATGCTGAATGCCATGTGGAAAGCCATGCTGAATGCCATGTAGAATACCATG